CCGAAGAGTATAAAGTTTTTTCTTCAAGAATATTCTTGTGTGAAGTGATTTTACCTTATATAGTTTAATAGGGTATCCAAATCTCCTTCGCAGTAGTCTTCTCCGCAACACTGGATAAAACCGAATATGACATTGATAAGTGCAAATTTGCAATAACATTATTGTTCATTTTTTTCCATTGTCGTTCATCCGTGTGTTCCACGGTTCTTTCCGCAATTGTATCAATACAATTGTCCTTCCTCAAAATTATCTTTATCTTCAATTTCCACAATGAGAAATTACTCACATTGAACTTCTCTATCTCATATTTTGTTGTTCTGATTCCAAAACTGACTTATGCAATTTTCACTATGAATAGTATTGCCTACTGGAAAGAAATGTTGGTCACTAATTGACACGCTTAAATACCAAGTCTTTCCTTGTCAGAGCTTTTCTTAGACATGCACTATCACACTACCAAATAATTCCCAGTAACAAGAATACTTTTTTTCTGATGTGGAAGATCATATTAACCGCAACTACAGAGCATACTAAGAATTTTTCCAACACTATTCTAATGACTATGCAGCAGAAGACCAATATCACAACCTAGTGGCTCTGATACCACTGTTAGGTATCAGACAAAAATATAAGTACACACAACTAAAATAAAAAGACAAAAAAATACCAACAATAGGCAAAAAAATAATTTCACTAATAAAAAAAATTACAACTCTTCTCTCTTTACCTCCAAGGAGAAAATAATAAACTCTCTCCCTAAAAATAAAGGAAAAACAATTCTAAAAGAATATAAAAAGAAAAAATACTTTCTCCCTTAATTTTTCTCTCAAATACTAAAGTAAAAGAGAAAAAAAGGAAGTAATTTTAATGTATCTTACAATATAAATACTGTACATATTTTATAATAAATAAAAAAATACCAAATTAAGATTTATATGATATAAGACTTTTCCTTTTACCGAACAATGTCACATGACGTTCACAGGTTTCTCTCCGCTCGAAGGCCTTTGAGATGGCTGTGAAATTCTGTTATAGAGTCAAGATTGACATGTCCCCTTCTAATGTCGTGGTTTTTTAAGTCCCAGTCAGTTCCTTACCATCGCGTACATCTCAATGAGAAGACGATTTTCGCGAAGCAGAGCTCATCTTGTGTGTGGAAAAGAGGGGAGTGTGTACGTGCTAAAACACCGACATAAATGAATAACCAAATAAACAGAAAGTAGGCTTTCTAACGGTCAAAAAAAATTTGAATTTACTGAAGGGGTCAAAAATTAAAATTTTTATCTATAGGCTAAATTGTGTTAAATTAAACGATTTCCCGTACATTAAAATTGTGTTAGGAAACATAACATTGAATTTCAACACTAAAATCGTGTTGTAATATGATTTTTGTTGTTTGAATTTTTTTATAATATGATATTTGTTATTTGATTTTTTTTTAAATGTATTAGGTAGTGACATATTTTTTTTATTGAATTCATGTTATTTAACAGGAGTTTTTTTTTCAAAAAATAAGATTATTTTATTTTTTTTTAAATATATTATTTATATAATAATTAATTTTAATATAATTATTAATTTTATAAAAAATACAAATATATAGAAAATAATGTATAAATTTAATTGAATATATTTATATTAAAATATAAGTTATAAGTTCAATTAAATCAATAGTATTACGATTATGAGAAATTTTAAACTCTTCGATCATTTTCTTTTCGTTGGTCTTGTTATTTATAACTTATTACTTTATTGATCAATTTATAAGTTATAAAATATTCATAAAACGTATCGAATAACATCAAAATGATTTACAACTAATCTAAAAATTAGAAATAAATCTAAAAAATATTTTTTTATCGAAATAAAAGATATAATTGTACAAAATTTTCACTTAACAAGAAATTTATAATTTTTTTAAATAATGTAATATTTCAATATAAACGTACTTAATTAAATTTGTTATGTTTTTCTAAATATTTGTATTTTTTATTAAATTAATAATTAAATCAAAATAAATTATTTTATAAATATTATATTTTAAAAAATAAAATAATCTTATTTTTCAAAAAAAAACATGAAATTTATACTGGTCCAATAAAAAAAATTAATATTTTATTTATGTTACCTAGCATATTTTTAAAATAAATAAATAATTAAAAAATTAAATTGTGCTATATAACATAATTTTAGTGTTGATCTTCAAAATTGTGTCTCCTAACACAATTTTTGTTTGCCAAAATCGATTTAGTCTATTTTAGTATTAAATTTTTACCTTTTTGGTGAAATTTCAAATTCTTTTTGCCCTCAGTAAAAAAAGCCCAGAAAGTAACTAAATGTTTCTTTTACACCTGATTTTCAACACAATCATTTTATAATATTTTAGACACTTCATATTCAAATATAAAAATTAAGATAGAACGAATAAGAAATATTTAATATTTGATTAGAATTTAAATATCTAAAAACTCTACTCAAAATATATAATTTTCACAATAATAATTAGCAAATTTTTTAGAAAACTTCGATTAAAGAATCTTCTTTAGAGATTTGATTTTATTAGAGCATTTTCTATCTTCAATCTCGGAATGGCTAGCAAGGTGGTTTAAAAATAAAAATAAATATTTTATTATGATTTTATATATAATTTATTTAAAATCAAATATAATTACTTAAAAGAAGTTATTTATATAAATAATTTTGATTAATTTTTAACTAATTTATTTATAAGATTCATAATAAAATATTATTTTTATTTTTAAAGAAATATTGTTAAGAATTCTTTTTTAATACCTTAGTTTCTCCAAATTCTTCTAATATCATCCAACATCTATGTCTTGAGCACATGCAAATTTTCCTCATGTTTAAGATTTAATTTATTTCTATTAATTTATTGTTAATGAGAAAATAAAGAGACAAATTTAGTGTATTTATTTTGTTTATTTTAGCTAATTTGGGATGATTTTGTGAGAAAGATAAAGTGGAATCCACATTAAGTCATCCACAAACACATAGAAGATTTGAATGAAAAGTCAATATAAAATGTTAAAATTACTTTATTACCATTAAAAGTCACTAATAAATTATGTAAATCCCTGAAGAGTGAAGATGCATAATTAGTTATGCAATTCTATATAATTAATTATTGGTCAAACTATTTATTTTTAATTTTAACAAAATCATATTTCTTTAATAATTATTCTACTAATCCCATTTTAGAATAATGTTGTGTAAAAAATTATTAAAAATATATTTTTATAATATTAAAACATTAATTTTAAATATATAATAATAATGGTAATTATTATTATAATATATATATATATATATGATTAAAATATCTATTAATAATTGGATGAAACATGTGAAATCAATATTTTAATTGTATAATTTTTTATTTTTAAAAGTATACAATAAATTGATCATTTTTAATTGATAAAGTTTGTAACATTTATATTATTTTATTAAGTTTTAAAATAATTTTAAAACATATAAATTTATATTATTATTTTTAAATATTTTTTACAATTTAATAGTATTTAAAAATTATTATAAAAATAATAAAATATAAATATATTTAAAATATATAAAAGATTTATATATAATTTAATTCTAATTTTAACTTATTTTTATCTATTTTATTAAATAATTATTTTATCTTAAATCATATTTAAATTTAAACTTATATTTATTTATATTAAATTTACATTAAAATATTTTGATTATTTATTAATTTATTTTATTATTTTAATTTTTTTAATCATTCAAATCAATATTATGTATTACCATCTTTTTCATCTTATTTTACTTTTCATTATATTTTTCTAAATCTAAATAATCTTATTTTTTATATTTATTTTTTTCATTCCCTCATTTCCATCCTCTAATCCCATCATAAGTTTAGATGAATAAGAATATTAATTAACAAAATTATTTAATTACTTAAAAGGAATGTAATTAACCAATTTGGGATCTATAAAATAAACCTTCTATCCCAAGAATAACTTTAACTCATTAATGCATGCGTTGTTGGGTTGGAAGATGATATACGGAAACTCGTTGACAACGCAAATTTGTTTCTTTACTTGAAATAAGTGTGAAGATATTAACATCTATAGTAAAACACAACACTTCCAAAACTAAACCATTAAAATTAAAATTACTTAAATTCGTAGATCAAATACCCTAAAAGAAAAGAGCTAAATATATTGTCAAAATGGTCTTTATTTTTGTATTAGATGATAATATTTTAAAGTTTTCTATTTGTATTTTAATTTTATTTTTTAGTTTTTAAAATATTTTAATAAATAATTTTAAATAATTATTTTTTAAAAAACTAAATAAATAAAAAGTCATCAAGATAAGTTGTAAGATTTTTTAGAAGGATGCAATAAATTAGGATTAGAAAGCTAGTTTGACTAATACATTACTTTTATACAACTATTCATTCAATTTTATTTTGAGAGAAAAATATTTACCTATTTATGAAAAGTTTAAATAACAATAATATTTAAATTATATTTTTATAATTTAAATATCAACTATTTACGCATACATTGATACTTGTTTATTTAAAAGTAATTAATGAGTCATTGATATTTTCTCAAGCAATATTTTTCTTAAGAAAATGTGTGTATTAAAGAATTATTAAAAAAGCAAGTATTATCATTTTATGAATATTTTTTATTGAAATAAAAATATCATCATTGAAAAACAAGTGTATATTGAAACAAAAACAAGGGAAGAAGTAGAATGCAGAGGAAAGTGGAGATAAACTGATAAAGAGATAATGTTAGAAAGGAAGAGGTAACTGTGGTAGTATTTGAAACTTAAAAGAGAAAAATAAAGAATAAAAAAAGGTGAAATAGTTATAATTTGTTTTGGTACTGAATTATTAAGAAATTATTCACTCTATCTTTGTTTCTCAGTGACGAATTTGAGATCTCTCATAAATAAAGAAATCATCATGTAACAAAGTGCAGACACCCTTCTTTCTGAGAATGACAATGCAGGCAGGGGACCTCTGCCAGCAGAAAAATTCACATTCTCCCCTCATTTTCTTCAGTCCAACTTCCGATTTTACTTCCTTCATTGGAGGGTTGTTTCTCGAGCCCAAAATTCCCGATTCCTTTCTTCGTTCCGTTTCGTTGAAGATTCACGCCGGCGCTTCTTTTGAATCCAACCCTTGCCGCCAACGGAGGAGGGTTCAGGCCAGCTGTTTTTTGTCCGTGAGCTTGCCGACTGCAAAACTCGTCACTGAACCCAAACTGCCAAATGGCGAACACTTGTCCCACCAGGACACCACCTCCAACGGCGTCGTTCAGCAAAGAAAGGTTAGGGTACGAGGAGGCAATGCCGTCAACACCACCAAGCATCTCTGGGCTGGTGCTATAGCAGCTATGGTATCTAGGTATATTTAATTTCACCAATTCAAGTTACTGTTATTATTTTCCATATGAAAAGAAAAAAGGAAAGAGTTTTTGCATAATGATTAATTTTTTTGACATTTATCGTTGTGTTTTGTTTTATTTTATTAGAACTTGTGTTGCTCCTCTTGAAAGACTGAAGTTGGAATACATAGTTCGTGGTGAGAAGAGGAATATATTCGAGCTTATTAGCAAAATTGCCGCTTCTCAAGGGTTGAGAGGCTTTTGGAAAGGGAACCTTGTAAACATTCTGCGAACAGCTCCATTCAAAGCGGTTAATTTCTGTGCTTACGATACTTACAGAAAGCAGTTGCTGAGGTTTTCTGGGAATGAGGAAACTACCAATTTTGAGAGGTTTATTGCTGGTGCTGCTGCTGGGATTACTGCTACCATTATTTGCCTTCCACTTGACACTGTATGTGACATTTTGAATTATGATTTTGTAGTTCGATTTATCTGTTGCATCCCAACTGAATAAACTTGCATTCATGTGAAAAGTAAAGCACAGACAGCTACACATATTTGTGCACTGATTATGATTGAGAGGTCTTTGACTTAATAGTTTTGTATGGTCTCAACCTCTACCAGTTAGCTTTCAACTACCACAATTAATATTCTGGTGTTTAACTGTTTATCAGTTTCTGTTATCTGATTTTATCAACTGCCTGTGTTCAGCCAAACATTTTAAGTTCCTAACTTTCCTTTTTTAGTTTATTTAGTTAAGTAAAGATTTGGACTAGATATGAAGGGAAAGTAATCCTCTTAGTAATTTATTGTTATGCTGATGTAACCGTTAATCCCCAGCCCCCCATCATATCTTAGTCCTTTAGTAAAGCATGATCGTTTCTTTCTTCCGATTTAGCTAGCTGTGTGCCTGAATATTTTTCTGTTATGTTTATAGTTAAAAGAAAAGTAAGAGTTTAATTGGCTTAAGATGTTTTCTTTTGGACATGGATCCTTTCAGATTATCTCCCAAGTCGAAACATGGACTTATCATTTTGGTAGAGATATAGTGATAGATGCAACTATATGTACTATCGCAAATACAAGGTCATGTTAGAAGCTGAAATAAGGATCAAACTAATTTCATGTCCCCCTTCCAAGTAAATTTATAATGGCATGTATTCTATTATGACTTCTAGGAAAATGGTGCAACATGTGGTAAATTAGTCTGTATGTATTCGGCAATCATAATGAATGAACACCTGAATCATATGTAAAAGATAATTAGGTTTTCTAGTTAGTAAAAATTAAAGCATTATCATTTAGATATTTTTTTCAGCGTATTCACTTGGAAAAAAATACTATGGTTTTCTTACAGATTCGAACCAAGTTGGTGGCACCTGGTGGAGAAGCATTGGGTGGTGTAATTGGTGCTTTCCAATACATGATTCGAACGGAAGGATTCTTTTCTCTCTACAAGGGTTTAGTACCATCAATTATAAGTATGGCTCCGTCTGGTGCAGTTTTTTATGGTGTATATGATATGCTGAAATCAGCCTATCTGCATTCACCAGAAGGAAAGAAGAGAATTCAGAATATGCATAAACAGGGTCAGGAGTTGAGTGCCTTTGATCAGCTTGAGTTGGGTCCAGTAAGAACATTGTTGAATGGGGCTATTGCTGGTGCATGTGCAGAAGCTGCTACATACCCATTTGAAGTGGTGAGGAGGCAACTTCAACTGCAAGTCCAGGCTACTAAATTAAGTTCTTTTGCAACATTTGTCAAAATAGTTGAACAGGGAGGAATTCCAGCTCTCTATGCAGGACTTATTCCCAGCTTATTACAGGTATTTAAATTCACAACTACTTGGCATTCACTACTTCGTATTTTACTGGACTTCTCTCCCTAGGATCAGGAGTATTAGGCTCTGGTTGTCAATCCATTCATATTAGTGATTCACTGAATTAGAACTGCTTGAGGTTTCTAATGTACATACAGAAGATTGATTTAGACTAAGGGACATAGAGGGTGATGGTTCTGTTTGCTCACCTAATCTAAATTCCATTTTTCATTGTACCATGTGATCACAAGTTGCCTTTGCCTGTATATCATCATTCTCTGATTCTTTCAACAAAGCAATGTCTTATTTATAAATGCTTTGACCATTATATTACGTATATTTAGCCCTGTAAAACTCCAGAGTGTAGGTTGTGTATACCAAAAAACATACCATTTTATCTGTTTATTGTGGAGGTGTAGATTAGGGGCCATAAGGAAAGCTGACCAAAATAGAAGGAACCGTAGCAGAAAAATCTATGCAGCTTTAAGATTGCTTTCCTTGTTAAATTTAGATATTTAATAGATGCTTGTCTTAATTATTTTCGTATAGTTTATAAATTATAGTGACTCTTCTTCCAATTTTTTCCTTTTTGATTTCCATACTGCTTAAGGTTGCTTATATTCGATCATACAAGTTGAATAAATTTCATATTTTAATTACCCATGATCAGGTACTTCCTTCAGCTTCAATAAGTTTCTTTGTCTATGAGTTCATGAAGATTGTTCTGAAAGTGGAGTAAGCAACGAATAGATAATCGGGTATATATAATGATAAGAAGCTGCAGCATGATCCCTGGCGAGCCGCTAAATTAGTTACAGAATGGTAATGATAAGTTGGCAATCGAATTTGATGTCTACTTTTGAGGGTGAAAGCATAATTCAGGTCTGCCATCCCGTACGACTAATCACTGTATCCTTGCCATGTGTATTACCAACAGAATTTTTGAATCGACTCTACAGTCAATATTCCCAGGCTTCTAAGCCGCAAAGTGCAAATAAATTTATTTAGTCACTCCCAGATATTGACATGTATTCTCATTAGGTATACACAATTTTGTTAGCTTTTTTTCAATAAGGCACAAAGTATGTACATCATTATCATGGGGTGGACAAGCAAAGTTCATCTACTTTAGGTTGTGACCTGAAATGTGGCTTATCAATTATTCGTGTGCGTTGCTTGCATTACACCTAACTAGAACATGTACTTGTGAGCGCACGTGATTTTGGGGTTTTGATGAAATAGAGAAAATGTTTAGTCAATTTAGGAAAAAGAAATCTCTCAATTCTTTGAAAAGGTCAAAAGTGCAGCTGTGGTGATTTTTAGCTAGTTAGCTGCCATCAAAATGCACTTCAATGTAGAGGAGATGAGTTTAGAATTTAGATGCAAATAATTTACTTTATTTCGGTTTTTGTATCCCACCGCCTGCTCCTTAACTTTGAGAAGAAAAGTTCCTCTTGAGGTAGTACATAAATGACACTACCTTATAACATTGGTGGGATTGTGAAAGATGAAGATGAGGAATTTGGAAATGACTGTGATTACAAGATATTCTTTAGAGAAACACCAACGAACGTATTCTCGAACTCCAATTATAACACCTTAGTCGAGTGGATGATGTTTTATGGTTTTACAATCTTCATATCCCCGTGTGTGGGTGTGGTTTCATCAAAGATGGGCTAAAAAGCCTTTTAGAGAGCATACACTCGTGAGGACCTGGATCCAATCCATTATTGAGTAGTCTCGTCGTGCTTATGTTCAACGTTGTGTATCTTCTACATTTAGTAATTTGGTTCCCTTAGATTATGGACCAAACGAACATTCTCATGAAACGCCATGAGAGATTATTTTAGTTACTACCTACATTCTTAAATATAAGTAATTTTAAATTTATTTACACATATTAAAAAAGTGAGTTGATTCAGTTAATAACATTAAAATTATCAACAATTTAAATTATTTTTTAAAATTATTGGGGCACCAAACAATCAATTGTTTATATGGATTATTCATCCTATATAATCCTCCTACGAGATAGAACAAATTTATGTTGTTAATTTACAAGATTTATCAACAAACAATTAAGGATATTGATTTGAATCAACAATCCTGCACATGGTTTGTAGGGTAGATGATGAATTGGAAAAAAACTGTCAGCATTGAATGAAATGGAAACGAGGCCCCAAAAATTGAAGGTGTTGTATCTACGTAAGTTAGTACTTATTTGAAATTCTATGCCACTCGTGCCCACTATTATTTTCTTCAAAATCTATTGCTTCTTATTTCTCATAAAATGCTTTAAATGTGTAAAAAACGTATAACAAACAAACTGATAACTACTAATAACACCCAACGCGGTTACATAAATGCATTTTCTATGTAAAGCTATCATGTTGTGGTGTATGCTTACATATATAATCCCTTTTCTACACATCATTAAATTTTTAAATGATTTATTATTATTATTATTAAAATTAATGGTATGATTGGAGTTGATGCATAAAGATCAGTACTTGTTGCACTTCTTTCATTCTAATACGTAAGAATCACGCTCCTATTCTTGGCTAAACTTCTTTATGTACAATAAAAGTTTATGGATGATTCACCTCTAGTGATAATATTATACTCAAGAACAATTAACATTTTTTATCAAATTTATTTAATTAAAACATACTACAAATTAAAAGATCTAATTTAAAAATTTCAAAACCCAATTAAAATAAAAGTTCAATACACTGTAAATCTTTTACAATTTTCTTATTATTTAAAAATGAGTGCTAATAAAACACTTTCTGACTCATTCCTTTAGAAAGATGAGTACTAATAATATTTATGTGGGTGTTATAATTTTATATACTTTAATTTCAATTTAAAGGAAAACCCTTGATGGTTTTTTAGAAAATTTGTTCGTTTTAGATTAAAAATTGCTTTTAAATGGTCCTTTATATTTATTTTGGCTTTAAGTTTTCTATATATATATATATATACTTTATGATGCGTTAATAAGTCTGTTAGATTATAAAGTAATATGATAAGAATTTATAGTATTTGTAGAGTTAATAAGAATTCTTTAAGAATAAAATAAAATTTTATTATGAATCTTATATATAAATTATTTAAAAATTAATTAAACTGTTTAAGTTAATAATTTTATTTAATTGTAAATAATTTATATATAAAGTTTATAATAAAATATTTATTTTTATTTTCAAACAATAACACTACTAAAATGCTCTTAATACAAATGTCTTCCTGGATAACAAATATCTCTCTACCTTAATATATTATATAAAATAAAAAATAAAAATCAATGGAAACTCGAACTTCATTTGTCGTATTCAAGAGATTCAGTTAAGAAAAAGAATAATAAAATCATTGATTTTTCTTTGTTCATGTTCCGGATTAATGTCTATAAAAAAATTGCTATAGTTTTGAAGAAGGTTGATTATTCATTCTGAAATGTACAAAATTGTATGAGTAGACATTTGATGAGCTGAGAATGGTTCTCTTGAGAAAGTGTATAATAAATAGTTAACAAAAATTCACTAATTTTTACTATTGAGGATAATATACATTAATCAATTAAACATATTTTTTTTTAACAATAAGTACAATGGAGTGATAAAATTGATTTGAAATCAGTTTTTAAGTTTTTGTAGTTGAAATCATTGTATAAAATGATAGTATTTTGCAAATGTATGGAATTGTGTATAAGTTATATTTTACTAAATGTCATTCTCTAAAACAAATACGCTTAATTATACAAATTAATCACATAAAAGTATTGAAATCCTAATTTATTTGGAGAAAAAAATATCTAGGCTCGCTTATTAAGTTTCAATTTTTTATGCATTTAGCGAATTTAAGTTTCATGACTAAAAAAATATCAATAAATTAAAACGCATTCCTTCCTCGACAAGACTAATTCGAAAGGAAGTAAAATATTAATATTAGTAACCAAATAAATATATATATTATTTTTAAAGTAACTTTTAAATTCTTTATTTTTTTTCTAGATCTAATAATTTTAACATTCTATTAATCTTAACCATTTGACTTTAAAAAGTAAATGATAAGATAAAAAAAAATAACACTTTTAGAATTACTTTAAAAATAAAATGATTATTTATTTATTATTATTATTGTCATTATGTAAAAAAAAGTTTATTAAATTACTTAAATTCGATAACAACTTCTAAAAACCTATTCTGTCGTCATTATTATTTAATTTAACAAATTATATATCATAGGCAGTTGTTAAGTGGTAAAAAGTTGATATAATTATGTCATGAATTGTTATGAAACTATTTAACTTATGTTAATTCTAATATATTTTTCTCCCAATATAGGATGAATTCGAGAATACCTTGATACAAGAGTAAGGAGCATAATTGTCAGCATAATTGGAGTAAAATTGAAAGAAAGAAGAACGCTTAAACGAATGAATGATGCGAGGCCCGACCCAAATTTTTTTATAAAAAGATAAGTGTGTTTTGAGAAAACCAAGCAGTCTTGGAGAGGAGGAGGCACGACTACTGTTAGAGTTTTGTTCAATCTTCATCAATTCTTCACTTCTTCATCAATTAGAACATTGTAATGACCAACATGAGTGACTAACTTCATTCTCTTAGGATTCAATGCACTTTCTTTGAACTTTTTTGTATCATGGTGATATTTTGAGATATTAATCTATGCTTTGATGTTGTTATTCTTATCCTTTATGCTTTGGAATGATTTATTATTGATTGTTTGAGGTATGATTGGAAAATATATCTTGAACCCTAGATCACGGTAAGAATATTTGTTACGTTAATTGCCAGGAATGGAATGAATGTATCAATTGCTTAAACACCCTAAACCTAATGCTGGAAAATCTCTTAATTGTGTGAGGAATCAACATTTATTAGGTTTTCTTATGAATTTCATGTGTGAGGAATCAACATGGATGATTTGAGTAGGTGACATCAACATTATTAGGTTAATAGACGTTCTTAATTGACATAGTCATTACAAAAGAAGGATAAGGAAGGAAGTCAATCCTAAATATTTTTAATTAATATTTTCGCAACAATTGACAGTTCTTTGTCATTTAATTTTAATTCAACTCTTATTTGCAAAATCCAATATGTTTAATCTACTTAGTAAGCATAATTGGGAATTTCCATTGAAACCGTTCCTCGTGGGATCGACTTTTATTTAATTGAAATACTATACTCGCGATTGATAATTTTGGTACGCTTGCCAATAATTCAAATGTGTTCTTTGAGAATTCTTTGTTTAGCTTATTGAGTATTTTATTTTTATTTCTGTTTTTGTTTTTATTATTATTATTATTATTATTATTATTATTATTTAGTTTTTAGTTTGTGCTAATATTTGCTTGAGTTACTCTTTTGATTTATGTGTTTAAGAGGATAGGATCTTCAGAGCAGTTAGAATTTAATCCAGAGATTGAAAAAATAGCTCGGAGGAACCGGGGTAGAAGAAGAAGGGAAACTCAAGAACAAGCTACAAGAGAATCTGCTAATTCTTTCACACTTGATTTATTAGACCCAATTATAGAAGATATGGCGGAAGAAGGAGCAAATCTAAATCCAAATCAAAATGCAAATGCAAATCCACCTAGAAGAACTCTTAGAAATTGTGCTATGCAGCAAGGTCCAAGACATTTTTCCAGCATTGTCATTCTGGATGATCATACATTGCAGATGAATCCATCTTTCTTAAGCTTGATTAGTGTTC